AACCTAGCACCCCAAACCAAAAGCGCACGGTAGCTCTGATTCAGTAGGAGAGATCCGAACCCCACTTAAAATGAATTTCCAATAGAGTCAATCTGGCTCCATCGGCTCTCAGAGCTTATCGAAGCCCACCTCTGATTACACAAAAAGATGTTTTTTGTGATCCAGTTTAATAATGAGCCACCGAACAATTCAGCGGCCTGATGCGAATCGCAGGAATACGGACTGGTGAGCCTCAGCCGGTTTTACCCAAGGCACTGAGGACCGAGTAATCTAAATGCGGTTCACGATGCTCTGAGCTTCCGAAACTACTCGGTTAAGCGTTTGCGTACAAAACCAATCGCGCATAAACCATCTCCGTCATCCTCTGACTGTCAATTGAGGGCGAACACTCCTGAAATTCCGTCTAACTTCCTCATCCGCCACTCGGAATAAAAATTTATTGTTTTACCTATTAGAGCATTTTCGACAAGGCACAATCACTTTCATCCAACTGCCAGATGCATACCTTCCAACGTACCTCCATACCACAGAATGTGTTTCCAAAGAAATCAATTTTGGCCGGTTTAAATAGCCACCCCTTATTTTTAAGCTAATTGTTTCCTGTTACTTGTTTTCCGATAAATGTTCACAAAAATTTGAAACAATGGCAAGTGCGTAAAAAGAAAGAAGAAAGTTAAATCATTAAGAACAAGGAGAAATGTAAAATAGGGAGTGAACAGAAGAGATGCTGAAAACGTCGCTTTGGTTTCTTCAACTTTGTTTACACGGGCTATCCTTCACCAACAGAAGTCAACACCGTCGCGACCTGTCCGCTAGCCTTCTGAGCCTTCCGATATAACCTGAACGTAGTCCAACGCTTTGCGAGCCAATAAAAGGCTAACCAATTTATGTTTCGGCCGGCAAGGGTGAAGATTTGAGCTGTTGCTGCTTTATTTTTGTTATTGCACTTAAGTGATTGGGCGCTCAGAATGTTAGCCATCAGCTTCAAATGATTGAATTGCATCAGACATATTTGTTTTGTACTTTCGAACACATTAACCAAAGGCTACAGAACCACGTCTTCTGGTAATGGACTTCGTGTTTTCACCGACCGCTCATGCGGCAAAACGGATGCTTATAGTTTCAAAGGTTTACTCTTTCAATTCCTGGTGGAATTCTTTCTAAGTATTTGTTGTGAGAGAAAAATCTATATTTCGGGGAGGGGGTGTTTTGAAGTAGTCAGTCCGTAAGATAAAAGTCAGATCCAGACGCAACCGCCTGTGCCAAATGGTGAAACTATCATAGCCCAAGCGTTTGTCGACGCAGCTGAGGTTTCATGGTTTGAATGATATCCCAATGATATCCTATTCGGCCGCGCCGAACGCTTAGTATTCGCAAAATGAAATTGGATTTTCGAAAGCTGTGACGTGTCCCTGACGGACAGACAGGTAACTGAGTTCATAATAACAGTCAAAGCTTTTCAGCTTCCTCTGGGCGTACGGGGTTCCCTTGAACCTAGAAAAGTATTCCACCAGAAAGTTTTCCGCCAGAAGTATGATTGCTTCAGCGGACAATGAAATTTGTTAAGCTACGAAAATATGAACGTAGATAAGGGTGAGCACATACGCGACAGAATTCAAAATTTTGGGATAAAAAAGTTTTGTTCCAACCGCAAAGGTTTTACATCTAAGAGCGTTGTGCGGCTAAGGAGCCCCCATTGGCACATATTCCGGCAGCATATCCCCCGCTTCGGACCCACAAAAGAAGGCCGGGGCAGGAGAGCTCTAATGGATGTGCACATCGTTGGCTATCTATCTCGTAAAACAACTCCTCAAAGCTGCGGTTCCCATCCACTCATCTGACCATACAGTACCAGGCCTCTTGGTCTCCTTCTTTTGAACCAATGGAAGATCTTCAGGTATCGCTGGGAAGTCCCTGTGGGACGCAAGATATCAGGAGAGCATGGCCACAGCTTGTCGACACGCTTGGTCCAAAGTCATAAGGTATAGATCCTTGTATGCCTTTTAACCGAGTGCATTCATTTCTGCCCATGGAAGATTGAGTGACCGAGATATTTCTCAGTGCCCCACGAGTAATTCTGTGTCTATTAGTAACCATTCTATTAGTAACCATCCCTGGCACCCTAGGGATCATGTAACCTGTAGGTGACTGTCTTCAAGAACATATATGATCGTCATATCTTTAGTTAAGTTCACATATGCCCCACAATCACCCTCGAGAACAACAACTTCTGGTTCCTTCCCTCGTGTCCGGCCCGGTGGACGGGTCAAGTGGAACGAGTCTTGGGGTGAAAGATGGACCAGGCGTCCGCAGTACATATCACCTCGGGACTTTTTCTCTAATAAAGTGTTTGCAGTCTTTCGCTTCTTCCAATTCTGCGTTCAGCGCTTCCATGTCGTGGCCGTGCAGCTAACTCACCAACTAACTCACTCAATACTGTAGCCGAACTGTTCTCCATTCCTAATGACATCTTCGGCATCAGCATATCCAGAAGCTAGGCGAGTGCTGCATTCTATCCACCGATGTTCAGCGGCAAATGAACATAAGATAGCGGATCCGCTCAGCTCATTGGGTCATTGACTCAGTATTGCTAGCAATTCTTCTTTCAGCAGTAAACGGGGACATCGTGTACTATTATGTATCAGCTGCTCACCGGCATGTCGACCCTCCAAGAGTGCAAGTAATGTCTACTAGTTGAACAAACTAAGTAGTTTAATAAGTTACAAGCAACACATCCCAGGGCATTACCCCAATTTTTTCCTCCATCAAGTATTCAACATAGCATTTGGTACCTGCGCTGGTCCCGGATATCTGTGACAACCTAAGCGGGTATGACAAGCCCGCCTGCGTCGATGCAGGCAGGTAGGGATGCAAAAGTCAATTGCATCTATACCGAATCTTCCCATATTGTGAAAACTGCAATTTTTTGACACCTCATCGAATGCTCCCGCAGAAATAAATTCCAAAATTAACTAATTTCTAAGAATTTTCCCTCTAGGGAAAGAGTTTCTTGGAAAACAATGAAAACGGTTATACTGGAAATAGCAGTGGGCATCATTGCTACTCACACACACTGCACAGCTNAACGTACGTAGATAAGGGTGAGCACATTCGCGACAGAATTCAAAATTTTGGGATAAAAAAGTTTTGTTCCAACCGCAAAGGTTTTCTAAGAGCGTCGGACAATGAAATTTGTTAAGCTACGAAAATATGAACGTAGATAAGGGTGAGCACATACGCGACAGAATTCAAAATTTTGGGATAAAAAAGTTTTGTTCCAACCGCAAAGGTTTTACATCTAAGAGCGTTGTGCGGCTAAGGAGCCCCCATTGGCACATATTCCGGCAGCATATCCCCCGCTTCGGACCCACAAAAGAAGGCCGGGGCAGGAGAGCTCTAATGGATGTGCACATCGTTGGCTATCTATCTCGTAAAACAACTCCTCAAAGCTGCGGTTCCCATCCACTCATCTGACCATACAGTACCAGGCCTCTTGGTCTCCTTCTTTTGAACCAATGGAAGATCTTCAGGTATCGCTGGGAAGTCCCTGTGGGACGCAAGATATCAGGAGAGCATGGCCACAGCTTGTCGACACGCTTGGTCCAAAGTCATAAGGTATAGATCCTTGTATGCCTTTTAACCGAGTGCATTCATTTCTGCCCATGGAAGATTGAGTGACCGAGATATTTCTCAGTGCCCCACGAGTAATTCTGTGTCTATTAGTAACCATTCTATTAGTAACCATCCCTGGCACCCTAGGGATCATGTAACCTGTAGGTGACTGTCTTCAAGAACATATATGATCGTCATATCTTTAGTTAAGTTCACATATGCCCCACAATTCACCCTCGGGAACAACAACTTCTGGTTCCTCCCCTCGTGTCCGGCCCGGTGGACGGGTCAAGTGGAACGAGTCTTGGGGTGAAAGATGGACCAGGCGTCCGCAGTACATATCACCTCGGTATTTTTTCTCTAATAAAGTGTTTGCAGTCTTTCGCTTCTTCCACTTCTGCGTTCAGCGCTTCCATGTCGTGGCCGTGCAGCTAACTCACCAACTAACTCACTCAATACTGTAGCCGAACTGTTCTCCATTCCTAATGACATCTTCGGCATCAGCATATCCAGAAGCTAGGCGAGTGCTGCATTCTATCCACCGATGTTCAGCGGCAAATGAACATAAGATAGCGGATCCGCTCAGCTCATTGGGTCATTGACTCAGTATTGCTAGCAATTCTTCTTTCAGTAGTAAACGGGGACATCGTGTACTATTATGTATCAGCTGCTCACCGGCATGTCGACCCTCCAAGAGTGCAAGTAATGTCTACTAGTTGAACAAACTAAGTAGTTTAATAAGTTACAAGCAACACATCCCAGGGCATTACCCCAATTTTTTCCTCCATCAAGTATTCAACATAGCATTTGGTACCTGCGCTGGTCCCGGATATCTGTGACAACCTAAGCGGGTATGACAAGCCCGCCTGCATCGATGCAGGCAGGTAGGGATGCAAAAGTCAATTGCATCTATACCGAATCTTCCCATATTGTGAAAACTGCAATTTTTTGACACCTCATCGAATGCTCCCGCAGAAATAAATTCCAAATTAACTAATNATTTCTAAGAATTTTCCCTCTAGGGAAAGAGTTTCTTGGAAAACAATGAAAACGGTTATACTGGAAATAGCAGTGGGCATCATTGCTACTCACACACACTGCACAGCTTTCATATCTTAAAGACGAACCAACCATGGTGTAGAACGCACAGAATTCCTCTGCTCCTTATCATCTGAGACGTACGACTTTTCTACATCCCCAAGAAACCCTCGGACCCATTAAAGCCCTTGAATTTGTTTAAACGCTTATAATTGGAATTCTAGTGCACAGGCGCTCGTTAATTGACTAACCTCCGTCCCGACGTCTGACCCTCCCTTCGGGGGTTTCCCGGCGGATTTCATGAACGATATGGATATATGTCACTGATTTACGATAGTTTTGCATTTCTAATGTTAAAACCTGGTGAGAATGACGTTTGTTCCAATCGGAACGGGTCTGATTATTTGCGTGCAACCCTTTCGGCATCACTTAAGTAGGTTCTACATTCTATAAAATATTGTTTCAGTCCGGATGCGCGTGCTAGAGTCGATAATCTGGTTCAAGAGGTGGCCTCCCTGAAGGACATAGAGAAACTTTTATTTTGTTTGCTTCTACCCATCGACAACAATGGTGGGCAACATTCCTTTATCGGTTCGGCTCTCACCCTCCATCCTGAAGACACGGATCTCCCTGGACATGGTTTTGAGCTTAGTACTCTTGGAGTCGGCCTTTTTTCTCCGGGTGGATCTTCGTCCCTTCATTTATCCAACCAAGTCGAACAGAGCCAGGCGTATACTTGGATTATGTCGCACTTGGAAGAGCATCCTTCCACATGTCTGCGCAAGGATGAAGTTTACGAGGACTACCGGTAGGTCCCCTGCGCCTGCTGGACTCGGCCATATTGTATGCATTTGTCCTACATTTAGCCCACACATGTTATTTGAGTCCCTAAGTATTCTCCGACTATTGTTCATTTACGGCGTACGTTTCCGGGCACACTCACGTGGATGACGCTTCCGCACGATGCTTAAAGCTTGAGCGACATTGCGTGCAGTCTCCACATCCACTGAACAGTATGGAAATCACTTCCGTGCTTACACAGTGAAGTGATAATGCCAAGAATGTCCCAGTAGCATGATATCCTATGCTTCGTGTGTCTGCCTACTCGGTTTAATGATGGTTCACAGATTTATCGACGTAACGAGCTCAATAAGGCAGCTGCTATAGGCACCCTATAATCTAAACCCTTGGCTCACTTCAGATGTTGAACTGCAGCTCATTACTAGGATGAGGAATATGGCGTTAGGCGGATGGAAAAAGCGGTCTATAAATTTCGGGAATTGTCTGTAACCATGTATGTGGGTGGCTGGTGATGTATGAAGAACAGTGGTGGTGCAGTGATTCCACTTACGATATTTCAGACTCTGCTGGATATTTGAGCCAACGAAGAATTTTAGTCCTTACCCTGTGGATCCATGGTTTTTCCCGGCTGCTCGCTATGCAAATAATGAAATCTTTCTGAAGACATCGACGAAACGATTTCCAGCTGCCGGTTTGGAGTAGTTATTCGGCAACATTAGAAGGTGAACTCTGTTTCCTCCCGAATAGATCTACTAAGACGGAACATCCGTTATCGACTGCGGCATCATCTCACTACGTATCAGTAATCCATCCCATATATGCGAGAGCCGATGTGCAGGGAGAGTCCTCTGAATGCGCTTGCTTCAGATCAAACCCTTTGGACAATTGGCTCAGACAGCGATCGCAGCAATGATTTGCTACTGGTGGATTCTTTGGCCAAATGGTGTTGAGTGCATGCGTGCTAGCCTGAAACGTATATTGTCATGATAATATGGAATGGTCACTGACTGCCGACCGTTCTGGTACACTTGTGTGGAATCTAGTCTTGCACTCCTCCGAATTTCTTTGCTCTGTCGGGGTGAGGGAGAGTGAGGGGTAGAAACAAACTGTCACCCCCCAGTCTGATCGTTTAGGAACACGTAGGTTCGGAAATGAAGCACATCTGTCTCATCCGCCCCCTACAATCACATCCATGCAACCCCGCTGTGATATTCCGAAACCAAACAAACAGCCGGGTCCTCTGGTACAAGTCGTCAGTCAGTTCAGGGCGCCGAATATCGACCAAGACTTCTAGAGGCTCATTCTTGTAGTCGAGTCCACAGGACAGTTTGGTGGATCACTAATTTCCATATGGGAATGTGTTCATTATGATCAAGAAGCTTGCCTTGTGCAAGAAAGGAGTCAAGTCGCATTTCCAAACGTTTTAACCGTCTGTGCAACAAACTCCAAAATATCGAAGTGAGAGACTGCAAAAATAGTTCGTACCCGAGCGAAGGACGCCTTGTGGTTGCGGTCAAGCTATCTCAGCGTAAAGGCACAGAACCACTAACCAGGGCTAACCAAACCTCAGGTTTCCGATTGCCCCTATTCCTGCTTGGGCAACCTGCCAGTATTTCAGCCCTCATGTTTGCGAGCTGCACTGCAGCTGTGCACCGAATGCTTGTCATCAGCGCACAAGTTTTGCCATCGGAGGCGACAAGTTGGATAATTCAGCGGACAGTTCGGTGTTGCGGAAGCGTGCAAATGCACTTCGTCGTTCAACCGCCGTCGGGCTGATGGTGCCAGTGAGCTTCCGCTTACCTGAAGAATAGAGCCAGATTCTCCGTTTAGTATTTCTTTTATTCACTTGCTGGGGGAGAAGCGGCTCAATGGTTAAAGCGCGAGTTTACTGACCGGAAGGCCCATCGTTTGAACCTGGCCTCTGCATCTCGACTTCTCCTGTCCAGGCTTCGGCAACTTAGCAGTATCTCAGACCCTGTGCTTCCTTCTGGCGGCATGACAACTAAGCACCGAAAGGGTGCTACAACTGAACCATGTACTCACTTTCTTCAGTCTAAGCAAAAAATGCCAACTGCAATTACCCGAAAGCTGTGCATACTTGAAGAAGATTTTCGTGGGCGTTCTTCCAGGTAATTGTCCATACTCGACCTGCAAACATAGATGTGAGCCAAAAAAAATAAAGCGTTCAGCTGTAGCACCCTTCCGGTGCCTAGCTGCCATGCCACCCGAAGGGAGCACGAGGGCTGGGATACTGCCAGGTTGCCCAAGCCTAGACAGGGGAAGTCGAGTGGCGGAGGTCGGATTCGAACCGCGGACCTTCAGGTTAGTAATCCGCGCTCTAACCACTTCGGCCATCTCGCCCCGATGTGAGCCAATACCTACATGCGATCACTTGCAAGATAATAAAACACAATACTCGTTCAACTGTCACATTTCTAAGATGCCTGACTCAGGTCTATCTAGGATCTGTTATTTAGTTCTGAGAGCACAATCACGTTCGGTAAATTGGTCGATCCCCTCCGAATGGCTGCGCCGAATTATGTACGTCATACGCACGACAGGAAATCCGGCATTTGAAGTTTTTGATTAAAAACACACTTTGTAGGTAAAAACATATGCTAAAGCATGGACTGCCTCCGACATGATTCCAGTCACTTTGACCCCACCCACAAAGGCACTAATATCCCATAGCGTCCAAACGTACAGTCGCCATGTTCATCCTGTGTTGCTATGTCATAATCTGTTTTCTGCGAACCTTCCGTCAACAAGGATTTGGACTGGCAAACACGGTATTCCTTCGTAAACCTTGGTCAGGCATATACACAACTTGACAAGCTTTATCTACTACTCAGGCTAACTCGACTCTACCCAGTACTCGCTTACGGACTAATTCATCATGCACATGCTACAGCCGACCAACCTTTGTTACTCTACGGAGACCTGACTACGCTTAAAGCCATCAGGTCGGAGGGACCGTATTTTCGTCATAAAAAGTGTGGATGATCGTTTTGTAGACAACCATTTAGCCAGTGATATTCGTTGCTGATGCATGCCGGTGAATATTCACGTACCTCGATGATGCATGCAGCGCGGCCACGGTCAAGATAGGTGAATCTATAAAGGTTAAGCTGCTCACTCTAAACTTTTAAAGGGCTATGGGGATGGGAAATACTGAAATACAACTTTGAGGATGCACACTGCACGCCGAAATAGCTTACATTCTACTGGAATTAGTTCGTGCCAATAAATGGTCATAAAATAACAGGACAGTTTCATCTGCATAGTTCAGGTCCAATGGGTGAGGTGGCTCAGTGGTTAGGGCGAGTTTACTGACCGAAACGTCCTTGGTTCGAACCCGACTTCTGCCTCTCGATTTACCCTGTCTAGGTTTGGGCAACCTGGCATTATCCTAGCCCTCGTTTCTCCTTTGGGTGGCAGCGAGGCACCGAAATGGTGCCCAGCTGAACGTTTTTCTCACAACTAATGGGGTCTCTTTTTCGCTTAAGTTTGATACAATTTTTGAATTCGGGTGTCACCATGACGTTCATAGGGCCAGTAGACTTCATTATTCAGCAACGTCGTTTTGTTGTCGGACGCAGTAGTGAGCTTCCTCCACCTTCCTGGACTACTTGTGTAATGATTGTATGTGTGCTCTGCATATGTCGCATGGGGATCCAGGTCAGTCTTTTCCTGGATGTACTGCTCCAGTACGATGTTCAGGTATGTTTATTGTAATGGTTTTCGAAGATTTAGGAACCCTTTCCTTGGCCTTACTCCCTAGAGACAGAAGGCTTTCCAGTAAGTTCCCATTCTTGACTGTAGGACATTTGAGCACCAGTGCCCAGTACTGGTCTATTGCTTCCTATGATGACCTCTCGAACCGACCTTAATTACACTCACTAATCGTTAAGAGTATGCATGCATCGGCAGTTTCATCGAAAAAATGTTGCGAGTAACCATTTCAATACCACAATTGGAAGTCGCCTACCCTCCTGGTACGAACCTTAATGGCGCTGCTGACGTCATCGTCCTGAGCGGCGTTTCAACAAACGTGCAGCCTTTCCTTGGTTTCACTCACCCTTCATTTTGGACTAGAAGCAAATGCTGGAGGGACCATTTACCACATTCCGAACATGAACGTTCTAACAACTGAGATTTACTTTGCTGGATAACTTTATCTTTGAGAACGTTCCACTTCTGTCTCTGCTACCGTAAGAGCGGTATGAACTATGGGGCGCTTCGGTCTAAGTAACAGTGTGACGTCCGAATGCGACTTAAGACTAGCAATGAGTTCAGTAGAGCACCCACAGTCATAGTGCAAAACATTGCTTAGCTTTGCAATGGAACTAACTGCTTCCATATATCCTGGACGGAAATTAAGTCCTCACAGATTTCGAAGGGCTTCTCAATCCAAACAAGCCCGATCAGTACAATACACTAAGACAGCTTGTGCTTTAAAAGTGCGCACCGTTGAATGATACATTACGGATGAGTTCGCCAGTTGGTCATAGGATATTATCTGATATGTTGAGGTTGTTGATGGAGAATCTGAGCATCTAACATGTTTATATCTCCCGCATATTGTTGGTCGAACAGTTTTCCGGGGGGGGGGGGGGGAGCTCTAGGCCACTGGTGGTTATCTTAGCCAGCATTCGTTCAAGGATGTCCTCCGAAATGAAAGTGTTGGCAAACTCCAGTATATTATACAGGCGGACGCGACCTTGTGCCTTCAGGCTGCTGACTAATTTGTTTCGGGACGTTTTCTAGGGGGCGGTTTCACGAGGCACCTCTATCCATCAAATCAATGTCACCTTCATGTCCTGGAAGACCGTCACGAAGAGACTGGACCTTACGGTGTTGTAACGGTTTGAGTGTCCCCGTGACCCACTGAGCTATACTGAGTGAAGTCCTCGACACAGAACCTCTTTTACGAGGTTGGTCATTGCTGAGAGGTCTGACCAACACAGTCTGCTGACTCTCCATGTTGTGGATTAGAATTTGTGTGGTGACTTGTTCTGTAAAGGAGCTAATGCATTTGCATTAAAAACCGCTGCCTCGCGGTCAGGCTTTTGAGTCAAAGAATTCGGTCGAGGACCCTAACTGTCCCCCTGTCTTGATCTGGGTGTCCTGACAGTATCCCAGCCCACGCACAACCATGAAACCTACAATTAATAACACTCGTGCAACATCAGCCGAGTCGTCTTATTTGATGCATAGAGTAGGACGGGTAAGCGAAAACATGCTGCTGCTACCCTCTTTACGCTTTCATGTTTTCCCTCTTCTACCGTACCTCACCCAAATGTGAATACTCTATGTGCAGGTCCCAGCATTATGACTGATCGTTTTGATCATTTTTGATCGTCACATAAAGTCGCATCTTCTCTACGTTCGATTTCAGTAGCAACCCTAAACACTTCAAAGTAGGTTTTCAAACCCAGAAACCCTGTCTAGTTAGCAGCCTTTAGCGTCCGGACACTGGTGCAAGCGGGACAACAGGTGGCTCTTGCTCGTACTCTGGATTCCCAACGCAGAGGCACTGGTGTATGCTGTCTGTCAGAAACGAGGACACAGGACGCAACTATTGTGACTGAGCCGACTGCCTTCTTGCTCTCTCCCAGGCGCAGGTTGCGCACTTCCGGTTATGCCGGGACCGATGCAGCTAAATATGCTGGGGTTGGGTATTGTATTGGGCAACCGAGCGGAAGCGTCTCCACTTGATTGGATACCCGTTGATAGTCGCCTCTGCGCGGTTCGTTTGGTAACGTCTATGAGAAGATTTAGTGGAAGTGGGGTCCATCGCACCCCGTTGTGTGACTGTCGCTCTCAATCTGTCAAAGACAGTTCCTATGACGATTTAGATGCTCTTTTACAACAGAGGTGATATCATTGTAGTTGTTGGTGACATGAACGCCCAGGCAGGCCTATAAAAATTCAGGTCTGTTAAAGAAAAAGATCATTCTAGAGAACTGTTCTGACCATCTTCAAAAAAGTTGCTCCAAGTGAGTGTAGCAACTACAGGGACATCACTGACTCCCGTTATAACAAGGCTTCTGGCCTCACTGAACCTCAAGGATCAAGCTGGATTTCGACCGGGCGAAGGCGGCGTCGAATAAATCTACACCCCGAAGCGTTAGTGACAATCTTGGTGTTCTTTGACTTCAAGGATGCGTTCGATTCTGCCTACAGGTCAGTGCTCTTAACATCAATTGCTTAACGCGGATGCCTCAGAGGTTTATAAAATTAATCCGGTCCCTGTATACACGTACTGTTGGGTGAGTATGATAAGCTCTCCAAGAGCTTCCCTACAACAGGGCGTCCACTCTCCTCTTTACCTTAGTCATCAGTCAACTAATGGGGTGGACGCTATGTCCAAATCACTTCTGGTGGGTAGTTTGTCGATTTGAAGTACGCAGACTACTTGGTCCTCATCTTTGAAGATGGTCAAGCATGATCCCTGTTGATTAAAGTACCCAACATCATACTGTCAGCCTGCACCTTCGTAGTTTAAAGTCACGCTTCAGAACCTGCAATCACTGGGCCTGTCCTCTGCATTCCAAGGAGAAGCATCGGAGTTCTTGATACCTTGGCAGTTGTATTAGCTCTCTCTGATGTGTCTGATTAATTCACTGCATGAATCTCAGGTCTCAAGGATCGTATGTACCAGGTTACAGTGAAGGATGTGTTGTGTTATGGTTTCGATACGTCTCTGTGGCATATGATGTGAGACGTCCTCGTGTTTTTGACGACCGCCTCAGAAGCGTTTTTGATGCCAAACGGCATCAACGGATTTGTTACGAGGTAATTAGGAAACGGGTGTTTGCTTGTACGGCAGGCACATCAGTCGCCGAAACAGCATCATCAACCACAGTATTTTGCTCATGTCTATAGTATTCCGAAACATTGTCTACTGAGATGAGTGTTGTTCTCCGTGCATTCTTCAGAATGACAATGTTATGAAAAGTGACTTAGACTCTAGATGTTGTTGCAGTCCGTCTTCCAGTATTGGATGCACGTCACCTACGCTTAGCTAGAAATGGCGGCTAATCGATGTCATTAGCCTTCATGCTGTCAGTTTCCAGTTCGTCTGAGTGAGCGCTTGGGGTTGTGGGCACCTTAGAATGCTTTCGGTGGTCTAGCGATAGGTGCCTTTCCCATCCACTGTTATCTCTTTCTCACTCTACATATATTTAAATGCTGTGGTTTTACGGTCAATAAGTGTCATTGTCTCTGATGATGTTGGCCCAAACAATCGGCCTTGCGGTCTTTGAAGGTGCGAACTATGATGTCGCCATGAAAACAAGTCATCTGGCCCTTTATATATATATATATATACGCAAACGGACTGTTGAATAATTATGAACCTCTGAAGGTTGTCCGCCTTCATCAAGAGCTGTTTAATCTCCCTCTGGACAGCGGGGGGTCCTGTGGTAAGCACACGAGAAATTCAGTGCCCTAAAATATACATGGTCCCTTATTGAGGGCTATCCGGCTTGCAAAGGCAACCGCTCTGGCATTTAACGATGCTAATGTTACTAAATACCCAGTTGACTACGAAATGCACCGAATGTCGTTAGCTTCGCACTCTAATGGACGCACATTCTTGATTCTACTTCGCTCGCAAAAGCCTCCCTGTTTCGATCTCGAAGCACGTTATTGAGACGTTTTTTTGTATCAAAGATAATCAAGATACTCAAGATATATCCCGCCGTTGAATCGCTGACGTTTTCCACCGACCATATTGAGTTTCAGCCGACTAAACGTAAAGATTCAGAGGACACGCGTGTGGAAAAGCAGCAAAGGTCCACTGTGATACCAGCGGTAGATGGTCAACCGTTCGAAGATTATCGGTGGCAGTGAAGTATCAACGGTGTAAAAGTATAAGACTAGATGAATGGTGCTTCCGTGCTAAGCCAATTCACTGCGTGTTGATGACAATCTGATGTATATAAGCACGCTGGTGTATTATCTACTTTCACGGGTTCCAAAATATCATCCCGAATGTGGTCACCTTAGTCTGTGTCGAGTTCGTTGGATCCGAAAGGAGAAACCGAGGTTTTAATGCAGCTACTGTTAAACACACTGGGACGCGGAGTTTATTTCCGTGTTAAGGTCAACGAGAAGCGGTTAAGGTGGGTGGATCACTGCATGGATTTTCTACGATACGCGTGTTGCTGCTGCTGTTAGCCTCTAAGTGCGTGTGACAGATAGGTCGATATTTCATCTTTACCCCCGTATATCCGAGTTGCGGTGAACCTTCGAGCGTTTTGGGAACGCGAACAGCGGACGACCTCGTCACCCACAGTAACGTTTGGAAAAACTATAATAGACCGGAGCTATCTTGCAGCATTAATAGACCGACGTCTGTTTGGTTACCGGATCGATTCGAATACATTTTCACATCAGGTATCACGGTGTGATTTTGGCTCGTGTTGCGTCTGGTTGATTGAGGTTCCTTGTTTCGGGAACTCTCATGTCGTCCAAACAGTATTTATCCACACCTATGTTGTTTCATATTACGTACTCATGTTGCTTCTTTCGCTGCTGTCCTTTACTACCTCTCGCTTTCCACATATTCTAACCGCTTTGCCCTTTTTCCGCTTGTTGTACAGAGCCTATTGTGATAAACATCATATGAAGACGCTCAACACCGCTGATTTCGGCAAGGTTATGAAACGCGCCTTTCCCAACGTGAAGCCTCGGCGACTTGGTCAACGGGGTCAGTCTAGGTGAGTGCTTTACCCGTAAATTGGCTGTTAATAGCCTATGTGTATGTGGTCACCGCACCTTCGTATCCAGTGTGCATATGTGGTTGTCGTTTATTGGGCATGCCTGAACGCTTTTGTTCCCACGCTTGGTCGGGGTTCAAACCTTATGATCCAGTCGCATTTGTGAATCACCGCATCTTCCGGCTGTTTTTGGTTACGGGCCCTGTCTAGGTTGCCGGCCGGCATGCTTGTTTACGGCTGTTCCCACCTATCTCCCTTTGGTCACTCATGCCCAGCGTCTTGATTTGTCATTCCACCATTCCGTTCATGTCTGCCAAACCTCTGTGACTGTGATGACGTTATGCCATCCCACCCCAGTAAATAGGTCAAGTCAATGGAGCTTGTATTCTCGCTTGCAACAGGGCGGAATATAGTTACTACCAGTTTTCAAGTTTTACCTAGTTGGTTTCATGCGGTTGAAGTAGTATACTTACAGTCTTTCTTGTCCGCATGCACCGATTGTCTGTATTGGTTTCTTGTTGGGTCTATTGGATATTAATAATCGTCTCAAAGGTAGTTTCACAGCATTGCGTTTCCACGAACTACATCAATCTGATTTCACGGGATACTCAACAGTGTCCAACTGAATTACCCATGTAAGATGTTCCACACCAACTGGATTTGCTGCGCAAGGTCATATGTTGTTTCACTTGGTACGATATTGACAGAATATCATACACAAGAGATTCAGTTGGATTCGGTTAAATCTCCCGTCAAAACCAAATTAGTCAGCAAGCGAGTGTATATCGTTCAATTTGAGTTCAAACAGAACACAAGGGTGTACGGAAACTTGGGGACTGCACTCACCTGATAAGCCCTAAGGACGGTCAAATTGGCCGTTGTGTCCTCCGGTGAGTCTTCAGCAACTTCATTAGTATCGTATTCTCCCTAGCTGAATTTTCATTCCTTCGCTCCTGCAGTCAACCGAGTTTGCTTCCTAATACGTTTCCTCTTGTCCTTCGCACGTCCTCTGCATTTCCAATCGCAGACCGCAAGAAAGTGGGAAGCATTAGGGGAGCGGGACTGTTCCGTGACTCGGTGACCGCCACATGGTTCGTACGCTGAATCTGTAGCGATAATTACTAACTGGGGATTAGGGTTCTCCTCGTGGCATGTGAAACCGTTTTGTGGCTGGCTTACGCATGCAGTATCGTATTGTCATTGCATCCATGCGGTATTTTGCAGCAGGCCCTGGTTAGCCGAGTCATCACACCGTGATTAACACCGCAGCGCCATGACTATACAGGTGGGCTTAAGGATGGATTCACGTGTGGACTGGCTAGCAGAGTGGTTCCACTCTTCGTACGTTAACAGCGATCCTTTCAAACAAAATGTATCGTGTTCCAACACATGAAGTGGTGCAGCCAAAATTTTATTTCCTGCAATAGACCAACCGTGTCAATATTGTTCCAGGAAAGTTTGTTTTGTTGTTTATCCTCATGGTTGCCCACTAGGTTATCTTTTGAAGGCAAAATCATGGTGCTACCAATGACCTCATTCACAAAACTACTGTGAGGCCATATTCCTTCTACTTGATTAACGATCCATATTGTTTGGTGATATGCTTTTCACTTACTCTTCCCTTCAATGTACCCATGCGTTTTCCCACCGTGCGAGATAATTACCCTGATATTCGCTAGTCAAATTTGATTTTATCGTCTGTCTCGCCACCGTGTTCATTAGAGATGCTTATCAGCTGTCCTACATGATTACCTTTTATTGTTACTTTGGACCCGTTTTTTGGGCAGATGGTATGCAACATTCCAGATTCCCGTAATCTTGTCGCTTCGCCATGAATGTTTTGTGGTACGTCCATTTTCTAATTTAGCCACGCATTTTGTTGGTCCATCTACTTCAATCCTGGGAACCATCACATTCTGAAATCATTTGCAGTTTCGAGCTCTCAACCCTCTCCCATTGTAGCTCTAGATCATCTTTGGTGATCCACCCGTCTGACTGCTGATCCCTCTATGGATCGTTCAGTGCCTTTCCGGTGCCTAGCTGTCATGCCTCCCGAAGGAAGCATGGGGGCTGGGCTACTACAAGGTTGCCTAAGCCTAGCTAGAGGAAGTCGAGAGGCATAGGTCGGGTTCGAACCACGAACGTCCCGCATAGTCAATTCGCGATCTAACTACTGAGCCATCTCGCCCCGGTTATTCTATGGAAGACGTAAATGTATTAGTTGTTTCGATCCCTTTCTCATGGTTTTTTTTCGTCTACTTTCAAGGAACAACTTTAGTCGTACCTACATTTTCCTACGGGGCAGGTCCTCGCAATCGCCTTTTTCGGGGTGTATAAATCTCCGGTATCCTCGCTCATTGAGTACGTCTCGAGAAGTCAGCTTATTCAATCCTTCTCTCTACGTTGTCTTTTTCCAAGATATTGTTATGGTGGTATGAGGAAAAAAATGGAGGTCCAACCACCATTCCTGCCAGACTTAACTGACGAGGCTCTCGGTATGAGTGCTCAAGGTCGTTCAACCACTTCTCCCGCCAGCAGTTCCGAGACAAGTGGAGAGCTTGGTTCGCATCGGCGCCGAATCTCATCCACCAGTCCTTTGACTCGTCTGTTGTGTGCCAATGGGTCAGAGTTGGATCACGCTGTTTGGGCTGATGAGCCTGGCATCCGAAGCGCCCTTGGTGTTCGCGGTTCGGTTGTTTCGGACGTTGCGCATATTTTGCTAGAGTATGCTCAACAAGTTTTCGGTGTACACTTCCAATCTCTTTTCCACCTGGCGCAGCATTTGGTTTCCAATCGTTACGTGAACTCCCGGTCCCGGTATGCGTTCTCCCTAATCGCACATGCTGCCTCTGCTCCCGCCTCGTCGCTCTCACCACCTCCCTCTGCCGCACTGGCAGAAGCACTCCAGAAAGGCATGTTTTGTCGTTTGTTGGTTTGTTCATGGCTTTTTTGTTATCTGTGCTTGCTGCTTTCGATTAATAAGTATGGCCGGAAATCCTTTTTTATAATAAACTGATTGAATTCAAGCTAGATTGGTCGCTGATTATGGTTGCTTAAGAAGGGCCACTCGTCTCCGTTTCCTTGCAAGATGTTAGATTGACTGGTACTCATCTCAGAGCACACTGAACGTTCTGCTTACGATGGACGTTTTTGCCCTGTTTACCGTTCACCTTTGCTGGTAGTGTGCAACTCTTCCACATTAAACAAACACACCAACTCTGATCAGTTGTCTCATTTAACCGTCTAACGCGCTCACTCTGGAGCTGGATTTAGTTCCGCGCGACAACGACGCGCTCCTGTCACAGCAGGTTCGAGTACGTGGCAAACGTATATCCCTACTTCCAACGTGTATTGAAGGTGTATTACCACAAAAATCGTTTGGTCGTTGTGTAAGTTGGCAAACTTACGGCTATTTGGTTCCGTTTTTTAGTGGGCTCTGCAAACTGGGTGGGAAGGTACTTCAGCGTTTCACTACTGTCTTTTTCCGTCGGAAGCATAGGCTCAATAATGCCGGGATGGTTTTCCGGCGAGGCGGCTTCCGTCGACAAAACTAGTCGCTCTTCATTCCAGATGTTCGTCTGTTTCTTGGAACATTTTGCACTCGGTCGTATCATGAGCGGTAATGCCCTAAGGCGGTCTAAGAAAAACCGGACAACGAAGCACTAAGGTTCTAAGTAGCACTGACGGACGACCCAGTCACGTGACTGATGGAATCTCTGTAGCAGGTTTGTCTTTTTCGGTGCACATCTGTCTTTCCCCGTTTCCATGCCATGAGTGAACAAGAATTTTACCACTAGGACCGGCTCACAGCCGAGTGACTGTGCTTCACTGAACTAAGCACATTCGAACGCGCCACACCGGTGTGTTCATTTCCAACACAATTACTCACATTTCCTTTAATAACAAGGTACAAACAGACTGATCGCCATTCAAATGGTTCTGTTTTGAGCCGATCATACCTTGCTTCCGTTCTTTTACCGAACTGCATGTCGTTTCCCCGCCAGGTCTCCCCAAATCTGCGTTTGATCGCGTTAGTAACGGCCGTCGAAAATCAGGTGGTGATCGGCCACCCTACTTGAAGCCGGAAGAAAGTGGTGAGTTTCCACCTGCAATGCCTTCGTTACCATGCTTCCGCTCGTTTCTTGATATGTCCATCGCTTTATAGATGTTACTAATATCAATAATAATAAAAGAATTCACAGCCACATATTGTATTCGGGTCAGCAAGCCCAACTAGTCACCCGGCGGACGTGTTGTTACTGCTACATCGTTGGCTTGCGGATACAGTCAAACTGAGGTCACACAGGTTTGAATAGTTTCGTTCTAGTTTACTTCAAGATTGATTCTTCTATAAACCTGTGTAACCCGTCTGGGCAGTAAAAAATCTTTGGTTGACCCAGTCAAATCTCCGTTATGACCCTCATAGAATCAGTACCCACATTTCTGATTGCAACAATGGGACCAAACCGGCGGGTGGCTTTGCATCTAGCTTCATTTGAATTAATTGGTAGGTATCGGGTTACCTCCCCCCTCAAAGTATCTACCACAGGAGTGATCGTTTTGGACCCATCGGCTATGGCCGTAAGGTGACCTCCTTACCATGTGCTTCTCACAAGTTACATGACAGCTATCACATGAAAGGACACCGTAGTTGAGTGATCGAACTCTTTGATATCAGGGAACTCACTCCTGTTTTCACCATTTATCCTAATAGCACAACCGAACTTGGGGTTTCCTCGGTTACTAGCATCCCAAATCACCCTATCCATCCTCGTGTTTTATTTTTTGGTCACTTGGAAGGACGCCAGTTTAACCTGATCCGTTTACCGGTTTGGATGCTTCACTCATCGTTTACTATAAATTCAGCCATTTTTGTAAAGCCGAAAAATGGAATCTTATTGTCTTTGGGATGCATCACTGGGGAATGTTTATCTAACGCCAGAACCTGCAATCTCCCGGAAGGAAGTTGAACTTCATCATCATCAGCTGTAAGAACCGCGTACTTGTCGTACAGTGGTTGTAGCTGCCGCAGTTTCGTTCACCGATGATTTGGGGGGGGGTAGGTGGCTTACGGCAGTAAAGCATCGGCGTCGAACACCGATGTCGATGATGATTATGATTATGGTGTAGGTAGCTGCGCATTGGAGGCAGAAGATGGTAAATTGATGCATAAATCCAGCACTGTCAGTGGGCTGTCAAGTGGGGGAATTGGGAAGGGAGCTATGCATTGAAGGCAATAGCTTGGATGCACAAGCGCTATTGAGGCGCGACTGGGCCATGTTTGACAATGATTTGGACCGTCTCGAAGTCCCCGTCCATGAAAACGGCAATGACCGGCGCAGCTGAGTTTGCGGCTAGTGGCTCTCACACTTCGCTGCCAAGTCATTGTTTGACCGTCTCTGGCTCTCTTCCACCCTTCACGTGGTTGTACGAAAAGATTCCTTCGAGAAATTCGGTCGACTGGCATACGCAGCACATGGCCAAGCCAGCGCAACCTACGCAGTGTGATCAGTTCTCGAGGGTGTTATTTCTCCCGAATACCATCATTCAGTTACGGCTGACTGATCAGCAGTGCATCAAAACTCTTGGTAATGATGGCTTCCTGCGTAATAGTTTCACTGCATCTGATTTCGGTTCTCTAAAGTGATTCTCCGATTTCATGCTTTCATCGTTCCAAACTCGCTTTATTTGACAGTACCCTCCACAAGTGACTTATCACGGACGCCTACCCGACACACCCAAGTTCCAGATTCGCCCATTCCAGTCTCCACGCCGACAGCACACCATCCTGTAACGGCTGCCGCCCAAAATCCCTTACTAGGTGGTACAAACCGTGGGTTTTCCACGGACGCTACACCATCAGCTCCCCATTCAGACCTCAGTTCGAGCCGTCTCCCGCCTTGTTCCACCCCGCAACCATCGTATCGTCCATACCAAGCCAACTTCTCACCTCAGACCTCATTACCACCCTCCTGTTTGGGCGGTGGTTTATATGCTGCTGCGGCTGCCTTAGCCTCACAAACTGGCGCGCCATCGAGCTGTTCCCCGTATCTTTTCAATTCCGGACGTGTAAGTCGTGTGGTTATCCCTTGTGCCTTACTCGACACTGGAGCGCTAGTGCTACTGCCAGTAATGATCTTTCAATTACCATCGATGATCGATTACCAGACCGAGGAAAGTTGATAATCTCTGTAATTAGTCAGCAGCACAAACCCAACGGAGTAATTTTTGCTAAAGTGTTCCCAGTTCACTTGAGAGAAACCCTATTATTGGCCGAATAGAAGCGAGTAACAGGTTCCTCATTTCAATGTGCAGACTTTACTGGGACACCACATAAAAACACTTCGTCTCTATAGTGCACCTTGTTCCTGATTCCTTGCCTCCTGTTTCTGAATCTCGAAACATTGGAAGCATTTGCTATCAACCGCTTCAGCTTTGCCACCTTCCGTTCACAATCCCGTCGGTTTGTAGGCCGATATCAGTCCACCACACCACACACACACACCGAGGGTGTTATACATCATGACGTGAAGTTAAATTTGACGACCATATGCGTAAAATCGTCCGAGAAATTAAGGCGAAATGGGATGGTATCTCACCCGAACTGGCCATTTCTCTTCATCAGGCTTATTAAGTTTTGACTACACAAACCGTCGTACCGCATTCTCCTTCATTTTCTTCACATCAAGCTCAGCTATCTTGAAATGGCAATGTACTGTGTGAACAGTCGCCTGTTTATATGTGATCTTGTGTTTGATCACATTTTTTTGGCCGGCCTAACCAGCTACCTAGGCTGCAGACGTACATGTTCATTGGCAGCCTATTCAGCCAGTTTCCTTATCAATTAGTTGCCCTTCAGCATCCAGACTATGAGCAAGCTCTCGATTGCGCAGAGATCCATCCGGTTATTCATGGCCTGAATCCCTTAAGGTTTTCTGGCATCACTTCAACTCTTATGGCTTCTAGGCGCCACATGGTACCTGTTCACCGAGTTGATGCCACTGCCGAATGAATTGACTTGATCGCTCCAGTAGGTATGGTTACATTCTTAGTTGATGACGACGGTATTCTGATACACATGACCCCAGTAGAATTTCACTGTACTTTTGGTCGGTAACCATGGCTCTCTGTCGGTAATTCGCATACACGCATGTTGAATTTCGAGCTCATGTCCAGTACCCATGTAACTTGTCGGCATCATGTGGATACTGGGTCAATTTGTTTGTCAATTATCGTTGAAGGATTCTTGTTCACCAGTCGATTTTAGTGGCCTTCAACATGGTGTTGGGTTATCTGTGCGTCGATCCTCTGTTTGCTTAAGTGATACCTGACTGAGATGGATCTAGTAAGTAGGACTGCTTCCAGTCACCAGATACAGTAACAATCAACCGGGGAAAAATACAGAAAGTTTCTAGCCAATGGAGGTCCATGTGGGTCTTGTCCTAGAAGGTGGGCCCAAGCCAACGTCACCCAAATGTTTCCTGATATTCCTTGCTCGTGCTTTTAATACACGTCGCTCACCTTTTTCTTTCGGCACAGAAAAGTAACTCTTCTTGGTAGGCGATAACTTGGCAGATGTTGGATGAAGTCCCCTGGCCTAACCGGGCACCAGCTTTCTAATCACTTAAGTGTAACGTCGCTGCTATCACTTTTCCGCTGCCTCCCAGATCAAGGACCTAAACATCCACTCGACTTTCGTCTCGGGCACACTTCTTCAGTCGCGTAACCAAACGAGTTAGCCATTCAAAGCATCGTGTTGTTTTACTTGTTCTGGTCGGTTGCCCGCTAATCGTGCGTTCGGATTGTACAGACGGGTGATTTTCGGCGTGTGCTAGTGTTGTGGCAGTCACCGCATGTACGTATTCTGCATTGATGTTCAACTTGTTTGGGAGAAAAATGCGATTTCGAAATCCAGACTAGAGTTCTTTGGTTTATATTTAATCAAATTCCGCAGAACTCTGTTGTCGCGTTGTGCGCGGCTGTTTTCTTGCTTTAAATCGATTTCCGCCTTCCGCTGATTCATGCTACTTTCTTCAAATTATCAGGGTGATTCTTCCGCGTTGAAAAATTCCTCTGCAGCCGTCGCCCTGGCAGCTGCCGCGGCTGCTGCTGCACGCCAAGCGGGTTTTCCACATTTCAACTCAAACTCCACACCCTCAGGTTATTCAGCATCCATTGGCATCATCCCCGGTCGCTCCTCTCCGATACCACCTGCCTCTCAGTTTGATGTACTCACACCACCAACGGCTCATAAGGAAAAGGCAACAAGGTTCGTTTGCCATTCGTTTTGTTGTTACATTGAATCGATCGGCCTCTGGGTGGTTGCTTCGTTCTAACAGTTTGCTTTCTATCTGTAGTTTCCCAACACCGTCAACACCTGGTTCTAATACATCTGAGACTCCCTACCATCAGATTGCTGGATACCATTCTCCTGTGGGAGGCAGTGGTACCATTTATGCAGCTCACCAACAAACTCCACCCTACACTTCATTGCAACACACACCGGCACCTTTACCTCCCGGAGTTGGAGCTAGAAGTCCATACACACCTACGGCTAATCCTGGGACCGGGGTTTCGGACACAACTCAGTCGACTTTCAAACGAAGCATCCCGCCACATCCGGTGGAGGCTCCTGGTGCATACGAACCATCGGTGAGTTCCGTTGACTGTCTTTGCAAACGGACTAGTTCCCATTAGAACGTCTCGATCTCTGTCGACTGCTTTTTGCTGAGCTTCTTTCGGTCATGGCTACCTCTTACAGTGGGATGGCTGTTCTTCGTATACGTGTTGTTGCTAGGGTGAAACCTTGGAACGAATTTCATAGTCCTGATAGCTTCGAAAAGCGTCAGTGTTCGATGTTCAACAGCTGCCTAATGAGCGTATTCGACTATCAATACTTCGATACATCGTCGAGGACGCACCACGCATTTGCACGTAAAACTCTGTGTGATTCTTAACGGTAATAGTGTTAATAGCTCTTTCTTCAGTTGTTTTTACAGCCACGCCATTACACAGCTGCCGTAACTTTGACATGCAATATTTTTGTTTTTAGCCTCGCTTCCATCTTGGTGGTCAGAGTCCGAACAAGCGTGCTCGTTATTTGTCCACGGCTTCTGGAGGATCTAGTGGGACAACTCCACTTTCAGCTGAATGTCCGCCGCTCAGTAGTGGAAGCACTGCTGATAGTATGGATGCACCGTTTGGTGATCCCTCCAGCGGATTGGCTCATGGGAGTGTGTCATCGTCGTCTCCCGCCAGTAGCGCTGGAAGCAGTACCAGAGGTGCCTCACAGCAACCAACTCCTTTGTCTATGGGACCGGGCTACGCCAGCCAGCTTGGGACCGGCGAATCACAATCGGGAACTATTGCGTCACCTTATTACTCTAGCAGATATGAAGGCCTGGAAATGAGGAGTCCAGCGCCCCACCACCACCACCAAATGGATAGAGTGAGCAGGCTTCCAAACCTGACTGCTGCACCGCTCGATTCTTCCCTCTGGGGGGTAAGTTATATTGATTTATATATGTGTATTGATTGATACTTTCGTAAATATTCCCATCACCTTCGTAATTCATTCTGTCGTGTTTCAGACTTCCAGTGTGAATCGCAACGCGAACAAAATCTCAGTGACACCAGGTAGTACAACTGGTCAGCAAGGCTATGGACCGACTACCACTGATGCGCGCCCATCAAGCACCGTTTTTCGGCCACCTGTAACTCCTTTCATTTTGGAGCTAGAGGACGATGACGACCTGACAAACATGCCACGTTTAGGTGCATCTCCAGGACCTCAGATACCCCCAAGCTCACCGACGGAATTCCTTCCGTTCTACTCCGAGGCCGCTTCGAAATCTGTTCAGGCTAAACGAAAATTATGTGGATCTCACGCCACAAAAAGTCGGCCAGGCTCCGAAGGTGAAGAATGTGGAAGTGGCACGGGTTCCAGTTGTTCACCCGGAGGAGCTTCTGTGGGGGCAGATTGCAACGAATTTCGCAATTTCGTGAGTTCTCATTTGGAAACTCCTCCGTCTTCCGCACTTATGCCATCTGCTACTGGTCAGTTGTGCTCGGACCGTTTGGTGTCGCCTGATTCTCCCACGTCGGACAATTCGTGTGACAGGACGTTGACCAACTTTGATCAGTACGGCGAAGTCAACACTCCCCCTATGCCTGAAGGTTTAGCCTCTGCGCCATCGCCTTCCGACATGCTAGCAACCGATGCTCTCGTGCAACAGAGTGCGTAAATTGTTTCTGAAAATTGTTCATCTTTTCAGGATTTATATGCTTCCCGTTTTATCTATCTCTTACAAACACCTAGCATTCTGCTTTGAACATTTGGCTTCTTATAGAGACATAACTACTCACTGAGCCTTAGTAAGCTTGAACACCTACACAGTAAAGCCGTTCGTCATCATTATCAGTTGTCAGAACTTCGTACTTGCCGTGCATTGATCGTAGCTGCCACAGTTTCGTTAACCGATTATTTGGAGTGGTAGGGTAGTTAGCTGCGTATTGGAGGCGTGAGATGATATAATTGATGCGTAAATACAGGGTTGTCAGTGGACCTTTAAGTGGGGAGATTGAGGAGGGAGCTATGCACTGAACGCAATAGCTTCGATGCATGAGCGCCATTGAGGGCGTGACTGGACCATGTCTGACAATGTTTCTGACTATTGATCATTCCCGTCTCTTTAGATCGCTTAAAATTTCCAGCCCCTAGGCGCACAGCAAACGATCATCACAACAACTTTATTCACTAGTCGTTGGTGACCTTGTCTCCATAAACTAAGGTCGTGTCACTCGTAGGAACTAACCGATGGACGCTGCTCATCATTACGGAACAATTTCAGCGGGAGAATCTACAGTATAGATATTCGGCAAGACATCAGTTGTTGTGGTTAAGTAATTGTAGTTAAGTAAGTACTTGAGCATGTTCGAATGATGCAGTGACCCACCCCCACCTCTTCCTGTTTAGCTTTCAGTTGGTTGAGTAGTCTTATTAGGTGCGAACAGCCCTAGTGCCACTTTACACCGGCAGACACTAAATGTCTGGGCGAGATAGCCCAAATGATTAGAGCGCGAATTTACTGACCGGAAGATCCGTGGTTCGAATCCGACCTCCGCCTCTTGACTTCCCCTGTCTAGGCTTGGGCAACCTGGCAGTATCACAGCTTTCGTGCTTCCTTCGGGTGGTATGGCAGCTAGGCACGGAAAGGGTGCTACAGCTGAACGCTACTGACTAAATGTCGCCATTTTTGCCATATTGTTACTGAGACCTAATGGTTGAATTGTTTTTTTTTGGTTAGTTAAGGGGTCCCTTTTTATCCTGGGACCGCTATTCCGGCTATCAAGCGTATCCAAGCTTGAGTTCTGCATTGATGAGAGCTCATCAGCAGTGTATAACTTCGACCGCACTGGGATATGATATGAAATTCAAAAGTCACCGTATCTCCAACATCCCTTTCATAAGCGTTAAACTCCGATTGTGCAGTCCAGTGTGGTCGTAGTTGACCTTGTAAGCGCTTTTTGAGTGCTACACGGGACAGAAGCTGCGTAAAACACCCATGTATCAGTACTTCTCCACACTGATGCCATCTTTTTTACTCGCCGCTGGTTCATTGTTGCACACTAACTCTTCATTTACATCACGGCAGTTTCTGTTTATCAGCTTATGTTTGGATATCACCATCAGCTTGTGCATGAGGTAGCTTAGTAGTTGACGCTGAGCAAAACTGCCAACCGGGATGTCTTTGGTTCGAACCCACCCCCTGCTTTTCGATTGCTCTTGTTTGGGCTTGGGCAACCTGGAAGTATCTCAACTCTCATGCTTCCCGCAGCTGTCCACCGAAACGGTGCTGCTGGTGAGCGATTTAGCTCGTGGCTGAGATCACTGCACGTATTCCTCATTTGAGCATCCCCCTTGAATATCGATTACAAGTAATATTCAACGGTACTCCTGTCGCAAACAGACATTGACCATCCACTTTGCCTGTTGCTAGGTGGGGTTGAATGCTAGAAGTCTTTCAAACTGCGCAAATTTGGGTTGTTTTTGCTTTGTCCACCGTTTTTTTGAGGTGTCGGTTTCCTGCAGCGAGAGCAATGAGTCCTCCGAAATTCAACGAACACATCGGGTGGGACCAAATCCACACCACCAATGGGTCTAATGTGTCACATTGTGTTTTGGTGTCCATGTCCCAACCTGTAATCTGCCCAGTCGCGTTGTAGTAAGTAGAGCATTTAAGCTGTGAAAGTTTTGGAAATTTTCTCCTTGTCCTTCTCGATAGCTCTACCCGTCTGTAGAAGGAGCATGTTGGCAAGCGAATTCACCATCCAGCTGTAGCACCCTTTCGGTGCCTAGCTGCTATGTCAACGGAGGGAGGCACTAGGGCTGGGATATCGCCTAAGCCTAGACAGGAACAGTCGAACCACGGACCTTCCAGTTCGTAAGCTGGCTCCTGAACCACTGAGCTATCTTCAGCCTTGCTAGGCGATTTTCGGGGATCACAAAAACTGCACCATGCTTGACCTAATTGGTTTGGGTGCTGTTTGTTCAAACCCTCTCCCTCAAATGCTTTCGAAAGTGCGCTTTAATAACACAGCCAAAGCAGTCTATTGTGGCCTTCTTTGTATTCACTTTTTTGTCTTGTTTCAGGACAGGAGCTGCAAAGTGAGCTGTCTACGCCAGGTCCCGCTGACTCTGATAGATCTCTTGTTCTAAAGCCGGAACTGGTAAGCTTGAGTGAAATTCTGTATTTTTGGTAACCTTTGGACGAAAGCGGAACATCGGGATTCGGTTTTGTATCTCCGAACACGGTTGGTTAGCGCTGGCTACTGTGCTTTCCTCTTTGCCAATTCATCATCGTCTGTGGGACTTGGCTTTTCACATATCTGCCTAGTTTCGCAACGCTCGATAAGAATTGGCGCCCATTTTTTGGCCCGTTATCATTGTTGTTTTCGCTTCACAACAAAAGAGCTTGGAGGCTTATGTTAGCCAAACGTTCTCACCGTTATCCAACTGAGCTAACGTCGAGTCGTAATTTTGACTTGTCAGTCTCACAAACTACGATGGATTGATTCGATCAATTCAGATTTTGAGGTGTAAGCCAATCGGACATTGCTTCCAGTGTAGTCTGTTGTGGAAAGTAGGCGAATCCCGCTGAAGATGACACTAGACGCCACCCAACAGCCATTGGGATTTCCTTAGCTTGTAAAAGCATCGTAACGACCGCAAATGGCTTAGTTCTAGTTCGCGATCACAGGTGTATCCGTCACACTCACAGCATATACTACAGTTAGCACCTGTGTCCAACACCTGTGTAATTTACATAGACCAGCACGCAGTGTGTGTGTGCGGCCTGTTTCTCCTTGAAACCTCTTCACGTGGCTTCGCGGAGCCCACAAACAGGCACATTTCAAGCAGAGTCGCATGAAAGTGCGGATCCTAATGTAGAAAGTGCAATCACATAGGGGTTTTATACACAGTCGAAATACGGTTGACAGGTTTTGCTGGTCGCTCCGATCTCGTGTTGCTTGAACAGAAGACCGGCGATCCGGTTCCTAGAATATGGGCAGTGGTACTTGTCTGGATGATAACGTCAGCAGTCTACAATCTACTCACTGTCATCATTTCCAGTCGTGTATGGTGTTCCTTGACGTTAGCGTAATGTGGTTTTAACTGCTTGTATATGAACCCAAGTGCGCATGATCCAAAGGGAGGATATTCCTTTTTGGTTGATATGTTCTGCACTTCTCAGGATTCTGTCAAGTTTTCTTTTTCTCTTCCATTCGCCTTTAGACTCCAACAACCAGTCGCAGCAATCCATCAGACGTTGGTATACCAGCATTTTGACTCGTAGACAATATTTCCAACTCTATGACGTCCTCCGACCTCCACGTCTCGTTTATCGACCTCCACAAAGCCACTGTTCCACTTTTCCGTCGATCCTCTTTGCTTCATTTTAATTACTTGCATACAACATGAATTCCTCGATACAATTACAATTTTCACGGGATAGTTTCTACCTCGTTAACAACTTTTCTCCCTCTATTTTGAGTGAACTGCTCTTATCGTTTGTGTGTGTGTGTACGTGGTGTTTACAAAAAAACGGTTTCTCTGTTCACCTTGTGATATTCATCGATGGGCTACCACATCAACTCTCATTCATATTCGGTTTTGCCGTGTACATCTATCCTGCCTCTCATCACATCTCCAATCTAGAACGCGCACTGTATTTTTCCTGCAACGTTTGCCTCTCCACTCCGTATATTAGGTGTGCCATCTCACTGGCCACATCCTATTTTTCTGAATACAACACAAGATATTATTTTCCTACATGAATATTTTCTACATCACGTTTTATTATAGTGCCTATGGTCCCGGTTCGATCACAAACATGTGCTATTTTTCTCTTCGGCGCACAGTTTCCACATCGTTTTCATCTTTTTCTCTGATTGGACGGGAGCCACACGAGTCCTTTCCGGAAGGGACTTATGCATAAAGAAACAGATAGATAGATCGATCGATCGTTCGATACCTTTTGTACTCTTTTTTGACGACCTTTTTACTACCCCCCTGTCTTTTCTAATCTACTGCCGCATACCAAAGCTCAATTTGTATGCCTGTCTCAGACGCCGTTGTTGCGATATACTACCACCACGTTTCATCGGGTCTTCATTCTTATTTTTCACTATTCGCTTGGGAGTACTGACTGTATATACTGGCAATGAGCTTTACACAGCGATCCGGACTGTGACAAGTTCTTGTGGCGATGAGACAGCTATCCCTCCAAAGGAATCACTCAACAGCGTTCCCCGTTAGCTCCTGTAGAACGAATAACCCCTCACCTCTGATTGCGGTGGGGGTTACCGTACTTCAGGTCATTTGCTTTGGAATGGCCACATGCCAAGTTGACCGCGCCCGTTTTTCGTAAATACTCCTAGTATGATTGTGTAAAGCAGGTCCTATAGACTTAGCTATATCGTCAGAGCAGGCTCTAGAATGCGCTGGTCCATCATTTAGCATTCTGCATGCATTACCTCAACCGAATGTTCACAGTTCGGACGTCGCTTCAAGCTGTTCGACGCGACACACTACCTGATTGTATACCCTCCCTCAAACGTTCACCCGTTTTGCATTCTTCAGGCACCTTATGAAGCAATAAAACGGTACCATTTCTCGCTTCGAACGAATGACTGAATGTCCCTGTAACATTCAAGCTCATTTAGTGACCTTACAGCGGCTGTCTGGCGCATCTGTGATGCATGCTAGTGTGCAGCTGATCCCCATTGAAGGATCACTAGGTAATGTGGTGGAACCCTCATTTAGGAACAAATGACCTTTGGTGTTGCTGATCGCCTGTTTTAAGTTAGCCAAGTACCGTTCCCTCCGTGCATTTGAGGGCCCGTGCTGAGCAGTCGTCTAATTTTGAGCTCTGCCTTTCTGTTCTGTGCGTCTATATATTCTGAGCAAGGAGCGCATGACATACGGATCACTTATTCAATGCTGTTTTATCGTTCATTCAGCCGTACGCGGTTAGTGTCGGACAGCTCCAACATTCTGGACCGGAACAATAGCATTCGGTTGACGTCACGTTTATTTCAGATACGTCACGCGTACAATTGTAAAAAGCTCCATTCACCCAACTCGTGTAGTTCCTTTTCTCCACAAATTTTGGAGCATTGAGAAAGTTCAAAGAAACACCTTAAAGCCGTCTCCTCGGCAAACAAACGACAATCTCCATGGCGTTTACTATTGGGTTGCATCTCGGAGAATGAACTCAGATGAGACAGTTGTTTTAAGTAAGGATTAGACTTAACCAGGCTGCACGAAATATCTACCGGTATCAAGTTCGTCTGTACCGGGAAAGTCCTCAGGCTCGAACCCCCAATGCTATTTCCTAACTACAGCAAAATTTTATAGACAGGTTCTGGGTAATGATGCAATCTGTGGTTGAGCGGAACTGTGCCAGCCAACATTTGTTCTAGCGGCATGTGCTCCTCCATGATTCCATCGTCGAAGGGGTCTCCGGTGCAATCTTCTCAACTCACGGGAACAACACGCAGACTTTCGGCCAAAGATCATTCTCCTGAAAGATGGTTGCCTGTGAATTAGCCTGGCTTAATGCCACAGGACACAGCATAGATGTGAGACATTCGAGTCTACATCTCAGTGTAGTATGGTCGATGGGCTTATGGCTGTTTCGATCTTGGGTGAATTGTCCAATGCGACACTCATTCGCCTCTACTCATCGTACCGATTTTACCACCACAGGCTCTGGCAATCATCGATAGCGCGACATGAGCGTTCAGCGTTGATGCTTCGCTGCCGTGGCGCAATCGCGTGTAGGTCCGTGTCACTCGTTTGAGCACTATTCACGACAGCACATGGTTTACTCGCCCACTCTGCGAGCAGTTTCGTACTTTAGTGCACCGCTGACCGTGTTATTCCGGTCAAGGTCGATGAATGTTGCGACTGCCGATTTTCCGCATCAGCTGCTACGACAGCAGCTGAACCGACAGTAGAACCACGTGATATGCCCCTTGTACGTGTTTTCTCAGTTTCGTTAAAAAGTGTGGTTGATGCGATTTAGGGTAAGTGGTTCGATATGCCGTGATGATAGTTCATTTCGGTGCCCAGCTACCGTGCCGCTCGAAAGAAACACGACGGCCGAGATACTGCCGGGTTGCCCCAGCGTAGACAGCAATATGCTATGATAACCAGATGTTCAGACTGGTTGTCATAAGGCCTTTAGAAAGGCTTCAGGTCTGTAGTATGAATGTCAGTCAACTAGAGAATTATGAATCCGACAGCCACATTTCCCCCTCTATTCGGATCACATCAGTCGATTCGTTCGTGTGTAACTGACTGATTCGCCTTTGTGTACAAATATGCTTGTTGGAGTATGGTGTGGCTCGACTCCCACCGATTGAACGAAATGCGCATTTAGCCTAGTTGGAAAGGGTAGTTCCTATGGTGGTACTCGTGTAAAAGTGCTCCTATAGAGGAGCTTCGTTCTTCAGTGTACTTAGATGCCTCCGCCTTATCCAAGAGCGTCTTTATGGAACGATAATCTTCCCACTGGGAGACGACTTTACTTAATATATGATGAGAAATATCGCATCCCGTTTATTGAGAAAGACTGCTAAAGAGACGTCGAGCTGGTTCATAGTTTCACTTTGAACCAACCATTCGTGGTGTCCATGACCTTTCACACCATTTACATTCGATTTGGCAATCAGTTACTTATGATGATCGGTTAGTTGAGCATGCCGGTTGTTTTAGGGAAACTATTGGACCTACAGTTCCCAACTTCTTGCATCGGAAACATCACTAACTCCCTTATGAGCACGTGACCTATGCATACCGTTCAACCTTGAGCTCAGTGGTCAAGGATGTCCTTGGTTCGAGCCCCACTTCTGCATCTCGACTAATCCTGTCTAGACTTGGGCAGTATCTCGTTACCTCATTGCGAATTCTCTGGTTCTGACCGATTCTAGCTGTAGTTCTGAGGTGTCGGCGGTCAAAAGCCTGAAGATGTTCCATATCCTCCACCCGTAGTGGCGAAGTCTCGCAGCCGCACAACAATGCAGTCCGCATTGACACACGCCTCCTTTTCCGCTCAGCGACATACCTTTTTGATGCCACAAGTGAAAACGCAATTCTGGTCTTTGAAATTGGTGCGTTGGCTTCGACCATCGCATTTCCGAGATAAGTATAGTGTTTCCAGAATTTCCACTGTCATTCCTTGACTTCACAGACGCCGTAATCAACTCTAAACAGAGTCAGTGCACTAGTAATCATCCTATATAGAGCCTGCTAACAAGGCAGACTAGAACCATCCAGGAATATAGATGAAACTTTATTCCATATCAGGTTGAAGAGTGTATTTAAACAAAATACATCTATCGGGGACTGCCTCTATACCTGATGAGCCCTAAGAAGGTTGTGGGCTGTTGGAATATTTTCAGTGATCTTATAAGTAGTGTGTTCCATCAGGAAAAAACATCACATCTGTCCTTTAACTCAAGGAGAGGGATAAGTAAAGATTCGTAGCTTCACAAAAGCAAATTAAGCTCTGGTACAGGCTAGTAGTACACTTGGGTATTCCAAATGGCGACGCTCCGAGTTATGTCGGTCCTGGTGTTGCAGTAAACCATTGCTCCTAAATAGACTCGAATTCACGTTGGTTGATTATTCAATAGCTCCGTTCTAATGATCAGTTCCACAGCAGTATTTCACTCCAGAATTTGCGGTGCTCACAGTTTCCAAAAGTTAAGGTCCGCGAGAGATCCCGTGTTAGAAAATCCACCCATTGCATTCCTATTCTTTTCGTTCTACTGTGGATCCGCTGCCCGCGTCGGTATCACCGGGGCGTAGTGCGATGCATCCCGTGCCGGTGCAATCAAATGCAGACAGCCCAACCTGTGAGTGGAGCAGATGTGGTGGCTGAGACATTGCCAAACTGTGGCGTGCTAATTGCCTGAATCCCGACTGCTTTGTGAAATCCTGAGGACTTTGTGCTCCACACAATGTAGTAACTACTACTGAGTCAACAGCTGGAATTCCGGGCCGGGGGCCGCACGTGAGTGTTTGACTCCACTCTCCGTAGCTATCACGTTTTGATTGATCATGGTGAACGAAAATTATTTTTCATGTGTGTGGAACAGCGGGCTGCTTGGATATCGTGTTACTCAACCAGTGAATGGTTGAAAACGACGGCTTCAACATGGTAGGAACAAAATGTGGCCGTTTACAGAAGGCCGTACCGGTGTTTCGAGCCAAGGTTTACCTCATATCTAACTCTATCGATAACCTTCCTTGAACGACTCCATGTGGCCCTCTGTTGTGAC